AAGTCAGGACGGAAACTGGCATCTCACTCGTAGTCGCCGTAATTTATCTAAAATTTACAGCGTCCATGCTTCACACTTTTTTATTGTGAATCTTAAAATTAAAAACTCGAGCAGCAAGGGCGTCGAAAGTGACTAGACACTGGAAGTCACGTACACAAAAGATTTTCACGCCCAGTGAATGGCTACATTGTTTTTATTTTACGCTGCACAGCTCAAGCCCACTGCCAACAGCGGAAGCGTAACACAGTGTATTTGGCGGTTCGTTTTAGGATTTCGCACCTGTTTGAGCGAATGACCATTGTTTTTCAGAGAAAATCCTTTCGTACTAAGCGGGTTTTCGTAATAAACGAGTTCGTTCTAAGCGTTGTCAATTACCATAGGGATAATGGATTTTCAAACGGGACTTCGGTGTTCGTTCGTTGTAACCGGTATTTCGTTGTAACCGAGTTCGTATTAACGAGTTTTGACTGTATGTGCAGTAACATGCTCAGTAGTGCAAACCTTGAGTCTATCCCATAATGCACTACATATATGTGCAGTAACATGCTCAGTAGTGCAAACCTTGAGTCTATCCCATAATGCACTACATATATGTGCAGTAACATGGTCAGTAGTGCAAATCTTGACAGTCTATCCCACAATGCACTGCATATATAAGCAGTAACATGCTCAGTAGTGCAAAATTTGAATTTTGCTGTGACTATACTGTACAATGCAATGACAATAGTTTGTCTCACTTTACAGGATCAGTTTAGTGTCAGAGATTCCCCAATATGGATGGATTCCAGTACAACACAGCAATGCAGGAATCTTGAAGATAGGCTTGGGGGCGCTCAGAGAGTGTCTAACATCACAGGATCCAGGGCTTATGAGGTATGTATCTTGGGGTGCTCAGAGAGTCTATGACATCACAGGGTCCAGGGCTTATGAGGTATGTATCTTGAGACGCTCAAAGAGTATCTAACATCACAGGATCCAGGGCTTATGAGGTATGTATCTTGGGGTGCTCAGAGAGTCTATGACATCACAGGATCCAGGGCTTATGAGGTATGTATCTTGAGACGCTCAAAGAGTATCTAACATCACAGGATCCAGGGCTTATGAGGTATGTATCTTGGGGTACTCAGAGAGTCTATGAAATCACAGGATCCAGGGCTTATGAGGTATGTATCTTGGGGTACTCAGAGAGTGTCTAACATCACAGGATCCAGGGCTTATGAGGTATGTATCTTGGGGTGCTCAGAGAGTGTCTAATATCCTTGGATCCAGGGCTTATGAGGTATGTATCTTGGGGTGCTTAAAGAGTGTCTAACATCACAGGATCCAGGGCTTATGAGGTATGTATCTTGGGGTACTCAGAGAGTGTCTAACATCACAGGATCCAGGGCTTATGATGTATGTATCTTGAGACGCTCAGAGAGTGTCTAACATCACAGGGTCCAGAGCTTATGAGGTATGTATCTTGGGGTACTCAGAGAGTGTCTAACATCACAGGATCCAGGGCTTATGAGGTATGTATCTTGGGGTACTCAGAGAGTGTCTAACATCACAGGATCCAGGGCTTATGATGTATGTATCTTGAGACGCTCAGAGAGTGTCTAACATCACAGGGTCCAGAGCTTATGAGGTATGTATCTTGGGGTACTCAGAGAGTGTCTAACATCACAAGATCCAGGGCTTATGATGTATGTATCTTGGGGTACTCAGGGAGTGTCTAACATCACAGGATCCAGGGCTTATGATGTATGTATCTTGAGACGCTCAGAGAGTGTCTAACATCACAGGGTCCAGAGCTTATGAGGTATGTATCTTGGGGTGCTTTGAGAGTCTATGACATCACAGGATCCAGGGCTTATGAGGTATGTATCTTGGGGTACTCAGAGGAGTGTCTAACATCACAGGATCCAGGGCTTATGAGGTATGTATCTTGGGGTACTCAGAGAGTGTCTAACATCACAGGATCCAGGGCTTATGAGGTATGTATCTTGGGGTACTCAGAGAGTGTCTAACATCACAGGATCCAGGGCTTTATGAGGTATGTATCTTGGGGTACTCAGAGAGTGTCTAACATCACAGGATCCAGGGCTTTATGAGGTATGTATCTTGGGGTACTCAGAGAGTCTATGACATCACAGGATCCAGGGCTTATGATGTATGTATCTTGGGGTACTCAGAGAGTGTCTAACATCACAGGATCCAGGGCTTATGAGGTATGTATCTTGGGGTGCTCAGAGAGTGTCTAACATCACAGGACGCATGGGTTTATGAGGTATGTATCTTGGGGTACTCAGAGAGTGTCTAACATCACAGGATCCAGGGCTTATGATGTATGTATCTTGGGGTACTCAGAGAGTGTCTAACATCACAGGGTCCAGGG